CTGCCAGGAAATTACATTTGGGTACCACCTGGCATGCCTTCAAGCTTTGTGACTTTAAATATTTATCCTGTCTTTCAAGTGTCTCAAGTACTGCAGTGAGCAAAGTATAGCTGAGATGAACTCAGTGCAAATGGTCTTATCTCACCGAGCAAAAGAAATAATGCAAACCTGAAGCCTGGTCTGCTAGCACTATGGAAACAGAACATGGTTCGTTGGAGTTGACTCATGAGAGTTGGAAGATTATCTCCATCCAAGGAGACAGACTGAGGCTTAGGGTTAGGGAGTTTAAGTGAACATGAATGAGTAGTATCAAAGCAGCCTGATTCCCCATTCTGTCAGTCAATTCACATGTTCATCTGCACATGTCACTTGTCCCCATACTAGGACTTTTGTAGCAGAAAAATGGACTTAGTCTTTTGGGGCACATTTAACTCTGCCTGAGCATCTGAGAAATGAGGAAGGAGCTACACAGAACCAGGGAGGAGAAGGAAGTAAAAGAGCCCATAGAAGAAGCTCTGGACATCTACAAGGATTTACTTAGCACCTGCTGATAAAACATATTTATGAGGACAGTGTTCTGCTGAGTCCAATGGGAGACAGAAAGGAAGTTTATGAAAATATTCTTGTTTTAAGGAACTTACTGCATGTGAGGTGAAACAAAAGAAAAAAAATACATGTCAACAGGAGATGTTATAAAATTGAGGCAAACTATGTAGCACAGATCATACATCCTGTGATGCCCAAAGAAGGACCATCACAAGGGTTAGATGTGGATTCCAAGAAGGGTTTCACAAACTCAACCAGCTGCTGACCACAGCCATGAGAAATAGCTGAGAAGTGAGCATGATTGCTGAGACAGGAGGCAATGGTCAAGCCTCAGGTGGGGGTGAAGGGGCAGAGAAGAGAGGGCTGGGCTTCTCACATAATGACAACAAGAAAGAAATCCTCTGACAATTTTCAGAACATGTCACTGAACAAGAATTTTCATGGCATATCTATCAACAGGAAGAATTGCATTTATTATCACACTTATTTTTTTTACCCATTTTTACCCTTTTCTATCTTTTTTATCAAACCTAGTTATAAAGTAACCAATCAATTTGATTTCCTCGTGCTACAGTTTCTGTGCAATGAGGGTGACAAGGACAAAGCTCTGGGAAGAAAAGTGTTTGTCAGGCTTACCTTATCCTCACTTCATAAAAGTAGCTTCCTTTAATTCTCATGCAGGGAATTTAATACTGGCATTACTGCGTTTGGTATTTATGTTTCAGAAGGTTAACATCATATGTTAACCGAATGTAAACCGGGGCATTACGTAATCTTTCAAAAGGTCAATATTTAATAAATAAATAAATAAATAT